GTTGTTGACCACTTGTTGGGATAATTTAAACTGGTGTTCAATTTTAGAGTAAAGTCCACCAATGTACTGGAAAAATACAAACGATTGCAAGTCAGTTAAATAAGTGTTCTAGCAAAGCAGGAATTTAACTCACTGAAAAATAAAACAAAGTTCTAAATAATGTGTGCAGGATGTACAAAACAACATATATGCTATSTAAAGAAAGTCAAACTGAGCTGACCTCTTTAGGTTTTTGCTTGTCTTTGTCGTTATTTTCTGGGGTCTGATTCGATTGTCGTTGCTTGGTGAGATAAACCACTAGTTCTGTCATTCTCTTGTGGTCTGGTAAAGTAAAATGCAAGTTAAAGGAGGACAAACAAATCATGCATTAATTTTCCTGGTTTGTAAATATAATATTGTCATTTGATCGAACATCAAATAACTTCGTTGTGTTTTCTCTGCATTACCTTCCTYGCGTTGTGCATCTTGGTTCCACCGTGAAGATCTCATAAGATCCCATTTATAGCTCTTGAACGTACTGAAACTGTGTCATAAATAGAATTATACAATAACTGTTATAAATCTCGCATTCTGATTGGTTGGGAGCGCGTGCTTTATGAGAGCACAAAGCACGCACGCGCCCTTTGCATTTTACAAAAGAAATAAAAAACTTGCTTGCTGTGTTGTGTGGAGTTATAAAGCACTTGGGGATTGCCAGAACACTCGAGAAGGGTCGAGAAGCCATCCGCTACGCGTCGTGCTTCTCCTAACACTTCTCTCGTGTTCTGCCAACCCCCGCGTGCTTTATGACTGCACACAGCACGCGCGCGCGTTTTCTATTTCTTTAATATTAAGTTCCACTAGGTCTGCATACCAAATGATACTAATACTAGTCTTATATTGATTACTGTCTGACTCGTCCCCAGTCGTCTTTCTCTTTGYGCGCGCTCTTAAAATAAGAGACGACTGGGGATGAGTCAGGATTACTGTCATTATAAATTCCAATTCCAAGATGGAATGAGGATGACAGGTTTCTTAGTCACTGCCCTCATAAAACAAGCACCGCTTATCTTAACCCATGGCCATAAACACTTGATCAAATAACTTACTCTTTTCTCGATGCTGACGTCACTTTCCTTGTTGGTCTGGTTTTCACAGGACCTAATTGTAGTCAAATAAAATAGACCAATAAGGTATCAGATTGCAAACTATATCCTGGAATGGTTCATGTATAACAACTAGGCTAGTGATAAAGCAAGGACGTAACGACCAAACAAACCCTTTATTTCAGGTTCCGTATCTTCAGACTCGGGCTGATCTTCATCTTCACCATGGTCTTGATCTGCCTCTTCTTTATTCTGTGACAACCGTCGCATAGCAACACGCTGTAGTACACGGCTACGGCTTCGACGAATGGGTGGTAAATGCTATCGAATGAAATCGTAATGTTAAAAGGGCCGCGTTTGGAGTTGATGGTCCACAAGTGTGTACAACACTAGTAATAGAGACCTTTAGTTTGCCGGTAACCGCTGTAGAGATCAGGCCCAGAAACAAGCCCGTAAACACGGAGAAACACTTAGCTTCAATGAAATTCAATATGGCGGCTCCAACAACTTCGTTATCATGTAATGCTTCGCTAAATGTCAAAAGGTATCTAATGAAGTATTCTTTACCTGGGATTCACTTGCTGTCTTTTTTTCACTTGGGTCAATAGTGTCAGGTAGAACACTGCTCTTCTAAGGAAAGAAAGTTCACATATAGACTTCAAAAATACTGAACCAGATATAATGACATCACTTTACTGCTGAGGGCACATAAGCCTGCTTGGCACACCAACTATGTAAGCATAAATTGTTCTTTTTCAAAAAGTAATGACGTCAATCCCCTTAGGCCTTCTAACAAACATGATGATGGAAAAACTACACAAGATTTTGACGGCTTCTCTTTGCCGGCCAGATTGGAGAGAAAAAAACGAACATTTGTTCGAAGCTATAGATATCTTTTAGCTCCAGGTTTTCCTGTTATGCAGTAAACTATAAAAACAGCTATTTACTCACAAATAAGAAAACAAAAAAGAAAAGATAAATTGAAATATCTTGTACAAAAAGCTGGCGTGAGGTAACAGAATTATTTCGAAGATGCTGCGAAATGTTTGTTTTGGAGACGAATGTGTGATAGTCTAGATTCAAACTTACTTGATAAGATAAGAATTGCTGTCAGAAGACTGTTAGCCGATATTAATTACCTTTAGTTCTACAGATCGAGTTTTCTTCATCAGAACATCTTCCTCAACACCAAAGATGTCCAGTTCACACGCCCTAAACAAAAAAGTACTGATTAATATATCGATRGTTAATGAATGATTGATGATTATTACATATGTTATGATGCAGGATCACACATAATGGAATAAATGAGTTAACAAAAGAATGAATATTAGACAAAATGAACAAAGGAATAAACGGATAAACAAATGAATATGTCATTACCTTGCACTCATTAAACGCTGGAAAGGTATTTCAACCACATTCCTGTGAGAATAAAGATCATCCACTACGATTGGATTATTAACAACACGTGGTTTTACGCCTTCCTTCGATTGGTCGGTACCCGTGGAACCCACACCCAYGTCTAAAGATGGTTTTCTACTATTTGAACTTGATTCTTCTGTTTCCTTTTTATCGGCATCTGTAGAGCTTCCTAATAGTACAGACATATAGATAGATATATCAAGTCAATAACAGGTCTACTGGGGTTTGGGGTGAATCTAAACCAACTAGATAAATACTACAAACTCTTACGTTTTCAAGCTTTTGAAAATGTTGGATCCATCCATTSTTATTACACGCCATTGTATCACTGATAACATTGACTGTTTATTTCTTAACTATTTCAGGAATTCCAAGATATTCCGTCATAATATCTATATTATTTATAAGTGAATTTAATAAATAACGAAGAGAGAGTTTTTCGTCTTTTCAAATCTTATTCAGTATCTCTGCAAGCGGCACAAATTGACAAACGAACGTGCGCGTGTGCAAGTTATATACACCTGTAGGTGAATATAGCAGCATAAGACGTAAATTGTGACCAATGAGCGCGTTCTCTAATATTGATAGCTTCATTGACAGCATCCTTAACCCCATACCTTTATCGACAGCAGAACCGACATCCTTTTTGTTTTCACTGTTATTTGTTTCTTTGACAGTAAATGTAGAGAGGGGAGTGTTTCTGGATACTCGATGATCACGATAATTACAGCCCTACACAACACACAAAGTCACAAGAATTGAACATTGACATCAATCAACATTTGGTTGCCAGAGTCTGTTTTGCATTAGAGGGTGTTTTAAAAACCCAACAACTGTATAATATCCCGGTTGATGTATGATACAAGAAGATACAAGGCCATGATTCAATCCTGGGGAGTACTCCGCCAGAATTTAGGTAAGGGAGTTCCGCTGGGATTCTGAAAGGGGTACCCTGTTTATAATTTTAAAAAACCCAAATTTGTAGACCCTGTTTATGACAAAAGATATAGTTAATTGCGCTGAGTTCCTGTTTCAATTATCATGTCATCTCATGTATCGTTTTTTATGACCATAACAACCAGTTTCGGTCAATACGAAAGTAGAAACCCTGAATTTGTCAGGAAACTCAGGAAGAACTTGAAACTTGATTGGAATTGCATACCCTGTTTATGACAAGAAGCTCAATAAACCATACCCTGTTCTGCGGATCATCCCCGTATAGTCCATCTATGGGTGTACCCCCCACCCCCAGGGATTCAATGTCACTACTTACTACATGTTGTCCAGTTGTATCAAAACGAAGAACTTTCTGCTGGCAACAGGGATAGACACCCACTTCTGATACATCAGTCTGGTTATATACAACAGATGCAGGATGGTAACGACAATGACCCAGCTCTGAACATGGAAAATAATCACCACAGCGGTAACAATATAGAATGTTTATGGAGCCCCATAATCTAAAGAAAACAAAGAAGATCCAATTGAGAAAGAAGATATACTAAAGGAACTGACTGAATCAAGGGATAGGAGGATAAGATTGTTTGAAGGAAGGGTTTATTGGATTGAAAGAGGGGTAAAGGAATGAGAAGGGAGGAAGAATGGAATATGGTAAGGAAGGGTGGGTCAAGGGAAGGATAGACCGGTGTATGGTAAGGGTGGGTCAAGGGAAGGATAGACTGGTGTATGGTAAGGAAGGGT